GAAAGTGCATCTAGCCTTTTAGTGGGTTTTGGATGATTGAATGACAACGTGATTAAAGGTCTAACCCATTTGCTAAGTGTTGACAGAAAATAGGTTATCTCACATATATTCAATGAAAGCTAAAATGATGTATTGTTAGAAACAATCTAGTTCAAACATAAGACAACAATGCAAATGTAATTCATATAAGATTTATTTATTGTTGGATTTCAATAACTCATATGAAAACCGGCACGTTGAAAAATAATTAATGAGACAAGAAGGATTGCATATGGAATGGTCTCAAGCTTGCTATATGAAAGACAAGTATACAAATGAACTTAATGAATGATTCGACACCAAGTGTGACTAGATGGCTTGAGATGGTGAAGATAGCAAGGAAAGGCTTCGAGGTACTAAGCAAGAGTGAAAGGCAAGCGACGGCTTGGCGACCGAGGAACCTAGCTAGGGTCAAGAAGGAAGTACTTGCGTTTAGTCAAGGCACCAATCAAATCATGTTGGCTATATTGAAGAGAAGAATCAAATCCTAGATGACTTTATAAAGGGATGACTTGATATCTTTGAAGCCAACTCTCATATGTTGAATGGAATCAAGTCAAATGCTCAAGATGGCAATGCTCAAGGATAAAATCAAAATCAACATGCTGATACCCTCACTTGATCAAGATTGAAGGCTATGGCATTTCGGTTCAAGAAAATTCAACTCAAGCACTTCAAACTCTATTTTCATTTGATCTTGAGTTAATAGGTATGCCGTACTATTAAGAGGGATGCATCATGTTGATAGATAATCATTCATGAGTGGTCAAGCCAACCCATATGAGGTTTGAGTGTTTGAGAGACAAAAGAGCTAACTTATTTTCTGTTGGTCTGGCAATACACCAGACGTGTCCGGTATTTGCCAGTCACAGCAATTTCTTCGTTGTCTCGGCTTGGCTCGTCGGGAGTTCCGACGTGAGTCGAGAGTTCCGTGGGTCCAGAGTTTCGGTGATCGTTGGGAGTTCCGACGTCTCGCGCGTCACTGACAAAGTGATCGTTAGGGCTGTACGACCAATACTGGACGTGTACCAGACACGTCCGGTATTGCCCAACAGTCACATAACGGCTAGTTTTTCAAAGGGGCTATAAATACCCCTTAGCCTCCACCTTTGGAGGATGCTGATTCTGCTGACTCTCTCATATGTTTTTGAGCCTTGAGAACACTCTCCAACCCTCTCTTAGTGAGTGATTGATTCAATCTTACAAAATCCATCTTGTGGGTTAAGAGAGATTCAAATTTGAGAGCAAGTGACCCTTGAGTACTTGTGCATATTGTCGATCTTGTGATTTACATTTGTTACTCTTGGACTCTTCGATCCTAGACGGCTAGGCGTCGCCGGATAACACCCAAGAGATTGTGGTGTGGCTTGAAAAGTTTATAACGGTTTGATTCCACCACCGCAAGGGAAGGAATCAAGCTAGTGGAAGGAGGAAAAGGTGTTAGAAAAGACTCTGGCTAGAGTGACCTTCGTGGTCCTCTAGAGCTGACCTTCGCTAGGTGTCTCGCAGCCCCCTCAACAGAGAGTAGGTCTCGATGGAGGCCGAACTTTGGTAAAACATATCGCGTGTCTTGATCTCTCTTTTTACATTTGTCATTTGTGATCTTGTGTGTTGCTTGAGCTTGTATATAGGTTACCTAAAGGTATCAGCAACTAAGTGAAAGGAAGAGATCAAAAGGGAAGAAGAGGGGAGCTAACTTGCACAGCCCGTGTATACTGGACGCGTTCGGTATTTCCTACCTATGCAAAAATTATTCATTCTCTGTTCTAACTTTGGTTGCGGGGTTGTATCTCGTATACATATTCAATATACCTTGTTTACCCTGTTGGCTTGCTCGTGAGGGGTCTATTTCTCTGATTATGAGTTTCCAAGTGTTTGAAAACTCCAACTCTAATTGTTTCCGCATTTTGAAGGGTTAAATTTTTAGAAACGCCTATTCACCCCCTCTAGGCGATATCCTCAGTCCTTTCGATTGGTATCAGAGCAAGGACTCACTAAAAGCTTCACCGTTGTGAGAAAAGGATGTTGACGCCTAACGAGTCGGAGCCGGTGCTTCTCCGAAATGATGGTTCAAACTTTCTACCTTGGTTAACTCATGTACTCAATGCTTTTAGGACTATTAGTCCTCTTGTTGAGCATATTGTGAATGCAAGCATACCTCTTCCGGTAGTTGATTGGAGCAACTACAAAAATATTCCAAAAGAGGAAGAAATATACGTGCAACTCAATGCTCAAGCAATTAATGTCATGTTGACTATATTGAGTGCAGAGGTTCTAGATGAGGCTATTTTCAATGGACAACCACCTTCGGAGAGTGCTCATCTCATTTGGACTAGACTTGTTGAGTTATATGGAAAATCTAAATGTGATGATGCATATGAGCTCGAGTCAATGGAAAACATGTCCATTGAATCTTCATGTAGTGAAGAAGCCTCAAGGAACCAGCAAAGCATCGAGCCAGAGCAAGAAGTGCAAGCCACAAATATTGTGTTGTTTGGTTGCAAATACCGGACATGTCCGGTACTACTGAGACAGCAAGGCAGCAAGCTAACCTCTGCGACATTGATCAAGCTCGATGGCGGCCAAGTGATGAGTCAACCTCAGTATCTCATGATTCTCATCACTTGTGTCTGTAAGGGACCGTGACGCCTAAGAGGGGGGGTGAACTAGGCAACTTAAAAATCTATTTCTCACTATGGCCTCTAATTCCACTTAGTCAAAATCTATGCAAGAAAGTAATCTATCTAGATGTGCAACTACAGTTTTGCTAGGTGTGTTGCTATCTCTACCGCAAAAGAGTTATGCAACCTAGGTTTCAATCCTATCAACTAGCCTATCAACTAAGCTAGGAAAATAAAGCAATCAACCAAGGTAGCAATGTGAATGCGGAAGGTAAAGATGAGGTAGAGATGCAAACTTCCATCTACGAGTCCGATATTTTTATAGAGACATCGAGAAGCGCTCAAGCTTCCCTCTAGTCCCTGTTGGAGCCCCTCGCAAGGAATCCCTCGTAAGGGCCAAGCTCCCGGTCAGGTAACTCCGTGGATAGCCCCGGGCCTTCCCCATGCGCAAGTAGGTCTCCGGTGTGCCTTCCGGCATGCCTCTCCCGGACCGCTCTCCGCCGTTTTCACTATCAAGCTTCTGGTTGAACCACCGCGGGCCTTGTTTCCTTCGGTACACGGTGGCGGCCACACCACAAACACGGTTGGTGTGATCTCGCAAGACTACAAGCCCCTCCGATGTACAACAATGGTGAGCGCAAGCACCAAGTGATAAGAGGTGTGCTAACCTCACTAAACACTAGGCCTAAACCTAGAGCAAACGTATAAGCGGTGGTCTAATCAACGTAAGCACTTCGCAAAGCACCTACGCTAATCACCTAATGAATCACTAAGCACTATGCAAGTGGAGATCACTAAAATAGTGTATCAACACCCTTGGTATGTTTCCTCAGCTCTCCACATATCAAATGGCCGGTTGGGGGGTCTATTTATAAGCCCCACCAAGAAAGTAGCCGTTGTCGGTGAAACCCAGCTTTCTGCTACTGACCGGACGCTGCTGTCGTCCTGACCAAACGCGTCCGGTCGTCCCGAATGTTAAAGCGTGCGTGTTGATCAGACTCTGGGCTGAGTCCGGTCTCACTCGATCGGACTCGTCCGGTCGCGCTGGCGCCGCTCTGGAACCTCTCTAGACTCGATCGGATGCTATACTTTGTGCGTCCGGTCGTCCAGTGCCGCTACGTCTGGTCACGCTGAAAACATTGCCGTGACGAAGAACAGTGTCATCGGTGCACCCGGTCACTGCTTCGCCCAGCGTCCGGTCACAGCTGCTGACGCCGGCTGTTGTCGAGCAACTGATCGGGCGCGTCCGGTCCCTATAAGGGCCGTGTTCGGTCACCTCTGCCGAGCTCGTTTCTTCGCGATCTTACGTCCGGCTTGGTTCCCATCTTCATGCTTGGACTATGCTTGATATCTTGGGTCTTCTCTTGTGCTTCTAGGGTCTTGCTTATGGTGTTGATCGTGGGATCATCATGTCGTCTTTGTCCAAGTCACGTCTTGCATCCTATTGAACTATAAAATAATTACTTGCAAATTCATTAGTCTAATTTGGTTGTGTTGATCATCAAACACCAAAATCCAAAGTAAATGGGCATAGGATCCATTTTCCTTACAAAGTAAAAGAGAACAGTAGAAAGGAATGCAAGAATATAAGTGCAAAGAGTTAAAGAATGCAAACTCCCACTCTGACGACTTTTTCTACTGAGGTATCAGAAAGCTCGTGTTTTTCACTAGTCCTTGTAGGAGCCTGTCGCAAGGATGCCCTCACAAGGGCCAATCTCCTGGTTGGGGTAACTTCGTGGATAGTTCATGGGCCTTCCCACGCACAAGTGGGTCTCCGCCAAGCCTCTCCTGGATCGCTCCCCGTTATCTTCACTTGGTGGGCATATCCTCCCTCGTACACCACCAGCAGCCACTCCACAAACATGGTTGGAGTGATGACTTACAAGCCCTAGAATGTACAACCATAGTGCATGCAAGTACCAGTAGCAAAGAGGTGTGCAAACCTCATTAAACTCTAGGCTAACACCTAAAGCAAAGTGCTAATGTCACCTAAACCAGCTTAAGCACCAACAGATGCTTTTGTTAACTGCCATAATCTTCTTTTATAAATATCTAATATTTTTATCTAGAACAAAAAACTATATCGGAAGGGATTGCTACTAAGTACTAACTGTTCATCACAGGAGAAGAGTTTTCTTTTGGATACCACATAATTGATTTAAATGCTTTCATGCTTCTGTCATTACAAGTTTGTAATGCCATGCACTTCTCTTCATATATTTTCTTTTGTTTCTCATTTCTGTGTCTGCAGAACTTTGAGCTCAGCAGGCTTAGTTGGAATCTTATCTCCAAGCATTGCAAAGATAACAACTTTACAACAGCTGTAAGCTCTCCTCCTAAATGAGGGTCAGTTATACATAAGCTTACTTTTCTACATTGATGGGCATATTTTCTGATTTTTTTTTCATATTATGGATTCAGGTTATTAGATGGGAATGTCATAAGTGGTAGAATTCCTAAGGAGTTGGGGAACCTATCAAGTTTGACAACTTCAAATCTAGGAAGAAATTCATTTAGTGGCTCCATACCTAACTCTCTTGGTTGACTCCTAAAACTTCAAAACCTGTAAGTCAGCCCATAACACATGCTATCAAGGTTGGTCAATAAATCTAACAATTTGATAACCTGAACAGGGATCTAAGCGAAAATACATTGGCAGGGACAATCCCAATCTCTCTCTCAAATCTTTCATCACTGAATAATATGTAAGTTGGCTTTCCATGCTGATAAAACCAATAGACTTGACATGTGTCATCGATTCAACATTTTTATACTTACTGCTATTTTATTTGTTCAAACATATCAATAATTGGTCCACTATCATATATCATACTCCCTCCATGTTTAAATATATTATGTTTTTTCATTGAAAAAATTATTTTAAATATATTATGTTTTGGGACTGAACTAATTAGCTTGTTCTCTATATATTTGACTCACTTTTACTTTGCAGAAATCTATCAGACAACGATCTTAGTGGTGAAATACCAGAAAAACTGCTCCAGGTTGCTCAATACAAGTATGCCAATTCTGCAATGCAGCAGACCGTGGAACATGTTAACTACTCTAAATTTATTTAGTATAAGTGCAATGTTCTATTTCTTTTCAGCTATACAGGCAACCACTTGAACTGTAGCCGACAATCAACTCCATGTGAAAAACGCACAGCTAAGACAGGTAAGTCACTAAGAACTTCTCAATCCATATACATAATTGTAAGTTTCTTTTCTGTTAAAATATGTACTCACCTAAATACAAAGTAGCACAAAATCTGATCGGCCTTCCTGAAATGTGTGTTTGTTTTGTTGAATTTATTAAACAAAACACAATAGTTTAAACATTGGAACAAGTATTTCAGATGTTTGCTTGGACTTCTGAAACACCAGAAAAAATGCCATCTCATGATATACATGGCTTCTCATTATGTCAGGGCCTAAAACTAAAAGTAATGTTTGGATCTTGGTTGTTGTTTCTTCTCTACTTGGAGTTGCTTTGTGCATCATCATTTGCTTTGGACCGATCGTGTTCAGAAGGCTTAGCAAAGGTCAGATACGGAATTTTGTGCTACTTAGTACTTGCTGCTTCATCTACTTATCACGTTTTTGTTGGTAGTTTGTGACTAATGGACTACATCAATTGCTGATACAGGCAAACAGAGAGTAAGGGATAGATCAAATGTGATTGTGCACCGAGATGTTGAGCTAGTATGGGGAACAGAAGGGAACAATCCAGATTTCACATTTTTCAATTATTCACAAGTTTTGGATGCTACAAATGACTTCTCGGTAGAAAATAAACTTGGGCAAGGTGGCTTCGGTCCTGTTTACAAGGTAGTTGACCTTGGTTGATTATTTTTAACATCTCTAGAAAACATGCACGAATGCACATAAATAGAGAAATTAACATTATGCATGATAGAAGACTGATGATCTTGCACATCGTAGTTTCCATTGATTTGAGTTTAGAGAAAAAAAATCTTTTCCACGGGGCCGACTTCCTGATGGGTTGGAGATAGCAGTTAAAAGACTTGCTTCGCATTCTATGCAAGGTTTCAGAGAGTTTAGAAATGAAGCCTAGCTCATAGCAAAACTCCAGCACAGAAATTTGGTTAGGTTGTTGGGATATTGCTCCCATGGGGAGGAAAAAATGTTGGTCTATGAATATCTGAAGAATAAAAGCTTATATTTCTTCATATTTGGTATAACTATTTCAACAATTAGCCAGTCCGTTCTGTGCACTGCTTCTAAACTCTGTAGATGTTTTTCTCTATTGTGTTTATGTTTGATTGATGTGCAGATGAAAAAAGAAGAACCTTACTAAATTGGGATAAATGACTCGTGATAATCGAAGGGATTGCACAAGGACTTTTATATTTGCATAAACACTCTCGGTTACAGGTTATACATAGAGATGTCAAAGCAAGCAATATTCTCTTGGACTACGAAATGAATCCTAAGATTTCTGATTTTGGGATGGCAAAAATGTTTAGCTCAAATGATAATGAAGGAAACACAGAAAGGGTTGTTGGCACATAGTAAGCTCTTTTCGGCTCCATTCTAATGATGTTATTTGCTAGAAAAATATAGCAACTCTAGTACAAAAATTGGTTCTCTTATGTTGTATTAATTACATGTGTGCCCTTGCAGTGGTTACATGGCTCCAGAGTATGCTTCCGAAGGCCTTTTCTCTGTAAAATCTGATGTATTTAGCTTCGGTGTGCTAATTCTTGAGATTATCACTGGAGAAAGAAATTCAGGTTTCTATTACCATGGAAACTTCCTAAACCTACTTGGATATGTGAGTCTAGTTCATATTCACATGTGTAAATTTATTTTGATTGCATTATTACTTATGTAGTTACATATTCTACAATGAAAATTCTCATAGGCATGGAAACTATGGAAAGAGCAAAGATGGCCTGAACTTGTGGATATATCATTGGCTACGAATGGTTGTACACTAGAGATGATGAGGTGCATCAACATTGCGTTGCTATGTGTGCAAGAGAATGCGATTGATAGGCCTACCACATCAGACGTAGTTGCAATGCTAGGCAGTGAGGACATGGCCCTGCCTGAGCCCAAGCACCTAGGATATTTCCACGCAAGGGTAGCAAAGGAAGAAGCGTCCACAATTGCAGAGACATACAATATCAATGATGCGACTATGTCTAGCACACATGGTAGATAATTTTGTAATAATTTTGTTTCATATCTAGATTTTCATGAGTATGTTTGACACTGTTTGTGCTAACTCGAAACATGAGTAAACTGTAAAACTATTTTCATTGGGTCTCACTTTTTCCAAATAGAACTCTAGGATTAGGGAGGTTGTTGCTTCCTCCATTGCTTGTCAAGTGAATTGATGGATTCATTTGCGAATTTTATGACAATGTAGCTGTGATCCTTTTGTCTAAAACTAAGACAAGAAACAGATGCCACTCTCCAACAATCTGTATCGTCCTAAATGCAAATTATCACATGGTATCACTATTAGGGGCCGTTTTGATCCCTTCATTTTGGAGGAATTGAAATCTACATAATGGATTAGGCTATTTGGATTAGAATTTGACATTCCATAACTTTCCCAAGGTCACAAATAAGCCTATTTCAAATTCATAGTGTGGGAGATAGAAATGGATTCTATAGATCACTATGCTATAATTCTATTCTCTAACTTATAGTACACTCTTCAACTCACTTCCCTACAATAGAAATACAACATATAAGTATGTCCCTTATATGCCTAACAATAAATATACAAATGTATTTCATATACAACTATATTAGCTTAATTAATCTATGTCTAAATTGTAATTATTAGAATGAATTCAATTCCAAGGATTGAAATGGGCCTCTAGATAATTTAATCCATGTATCTATATTCATAGGTTACCTCTATTAACACTCTCACGAATACCCTTGATAGCATCTAGGCTCCTAATCCGGCTTTAGTGTTTAATGACTAACGTGTGTTTTGCGGGGGCATTCTAAGTTGGGTCACAATGATGATTGATTAATGGGCAATCGATGGCTTTCATGGCGCCCCTATGTTGGTTTTCGTGGCTTCCGGCCAAACCACCACGGGCCTTGTACCCTTCGGTACACGGTGGCGACCACACCACAAACGCGGTTGGTGTGATCTCGCAAGACTACAAGCCCCTCCGATGTACAACAATGGTGCGCGCAAGCACCGAGTGATAAGAGGTGTGCAAAACTCACTAAACACTAGGCCTAAACCTAGAGCAAGCGTATAAGCTGTGGTCTAATTAACCTAAGAACTTCGCAAAACACCTACGCTAATCACCTAATGAGTCACTAAGCACTATGCAAGTGGAGATCACTAAAATGGTGTAAACACCCTTGGTATATTTTCTCTACTCTCCACACTTCAAATGGCCAGTTGGGGGGTTATTTATAGCCCCACAAGTGAGAACTAGCCGTTGGACCCCAAGACCCCAACAATCTGCTAGTGATCGAACGCTAGTCATGTCCACATCGGAAGCGTCCGGTCTTCCCTACCGTTGAAGCTAGTGTGTTGATTGGACTCAGCGCTGAGTCTGGTCACTTGCCACTGGACACGTCCGATCACGTTTGCGCCTCTCTAGAATCTTTCTGGAATTGATCGGACGTTGCTGCCTGGTGCGTCCGGTCGTCCATCTACCGCATCCGGTTGCGCTGATGGTGTTGTCGTGGAGATGAACAGTGCCATCATCATGTCCGGTCATGTTTCTTCTTCAGCATCCGGTTGGCTACTGATGCTTGACGCTATCTTGGACTACCCATCGGACACGTCTGGTCCTTACGAAGGGCGCGTCCGATCACCTCTGCCAAGCTTGTTTCTTCGCGGTTTTGCATCCGGCTTGGTTCCCATCTTCGTGCTTGTATTTTGCTTGATATCTTGGGTCTTCTCTTGTGCTTCTAGTGTCTTGCTTATAGTGTTGATCTTTGGATCATCAAGTCACCTTCATCCAAGTCACGTCTTGCACCCTATTGAACTACAAAATAATTACTTGCAAATTCAATAGTCCAATTTGGTTGTGTTGGTCATCAAACGCGAAAATCCAAAGCAAATTGGCCTAGGGTCCATTTTCCTTACTGTGTCTCATGGCCAAGAAAAGCAAGAAGAAAGTCTCCAAGAAAGATCAAGTGAAGGAGCAAGCACAAGTGGATGATCAAGACGAGAGTGATGTTGAAGTTGAAGACAATTACAACCTTGATCATCTCAATCACAAGGACAAGTTCATCATCATGAAGATAGTTGAAAAGAATGATGAGCTAGAAGAGGAGAATGAGAAGCAAGAACAATCACTCCAAAAGTAAGAAATATTTCTTATCTCCAAGTTGGAAGAACTAAAGGCTCTAAATGAAAGGAATAAAAAATTGTCAAATGAGCATGCTTTAGTTACTAACTTCTCTTCTAGCGTGACACAACTAGAAAAGGAAAACATTGAGCTCAAGACAAGACTAGATGAACTATCAAGCAAATACAATGTTCTCCAAGCCAACCATGTTCATCTAAAGTGCTCACATGAAAAATTAGTAGAATCAGATTTCATGCTTGAGGTAGCTCATGAGGTTGTGATTACATCGGTAAAATCGTCTCAACCTCTCACTCACACACTCATACATACACCATCTCAATTGAATATTTCTTGTACTAATGAGTGTGCTTCTCAAGCAAGCCAATCTTTGATTGAGCAAAATCTATTAGAAAATAATGAGCTCAAAGAAGTTGAAAGGCTAAGAAAGGATGTGATTCGGTTGAAGGGTAAGGAGGAAGCACAACCTTCTTAAGATAACCGTGATCACATGGTGAAAAAGCTTAAGAAGGGTTCAAACCTTGCTCCCTCCAAAACCCAACAAAAGAATCACAACTCAAGCAATATCAAAGCAACCAAGAGCAAGAAGCATGGAAAAAGGCTATGCTATGGTTATGGATTGTACGAATAGAGTGGGCTATGTGTCCACACAAGAGTTGGGATGACAAGGTTGAAGCCGTCGAACAAAAAGCTGCTACCAGGGTGGCCAAGCAAGTGAAGAGTGATGAGCCAAGTGCTTGTCTCATTTACAAGAAGTTGGGCCATCCTACCAAGCATTGCCCCTTGTACAATGAGGTAAGAAAGAAAGCTCAAGTTACAACAAGAAGATGCTATGGATGCAATGAGACGGGGCACATGATCAATTGGTGTCCCAACAAGCAAAACAAGCATAGAGCAAATCAAGGTTGCATATGCTATGCTTGTAGAAGAAAGGGGCATCTAAGCTATGATTGCTCAAATGGTAACATCCCTAAGTTGAACACATTTGGTTATAATAATATGCTTAGGAGGACCACAAATAGAGTTAACACTAGCAAGGTGATGTGTTCACCACAAACTACTACTACGGCCATTTGGATACCTAAGCACTTGTTGACTAACTCAAAAGGACCCAACAAGAGTTGGGTACCAAAGTGTACGTAGGATGTTGATGTAGGTACTTGGTAGTGAGATGAAAGATTCAGGGTGATTGAGCAATCTAATTGGAAATATTCACTCAACCTTTCAACCAATGCTTATCATAATCTCTTATATGGTTGACCCGAAGAATAAAAATTGATCATATCCTCTATTTCATTCTCACCTTTGGTAACGAGTACCTAAACCCTATAAGATAGCCACTTTGCTTTCAACTTGCTCAATAGCTCACAAATAGGTATATTTGTGAAATATTGAAAGTGGCTAAATAGATTCATTTGGGAATATTAGTGCTTGCTATATGGTGCTTTTAATGGCTCTTTTGTAGAGCAATCTATTTGTTGAGATGCAGGTATACACAAGTACTAGAACCTAATGAAGAATCACAAACCAAAAGGTTCACTGTTTCTGTCCTGACTATATCGGACGACCTACCGGACGTGTCCGGTATTCCAGCGGGCAAAACAACAAGTTTGGTTGTTGATGAGTTATGATCGTTGTGGCTTCATATATTCTTAGATGACTCAGAAGCTTAGTGATTCATTATGTCTAAGTGATTGTGAGTACTATATGTTGGTAAAAATAGAAAATTGTCTCTCTCATATTCACAATTGAATAAATGTGTTTGTGGCAAGTTATTCGAATGACTTGTAGCACTTGTTGAGGGGGAGTCCACTTTTCTATTTTGTACTGTTTGTGGACTAACAATCTCTTCTCGTAATCTTGTAGTCCTAAGTATAAAAAATTGGATCATGGTGATGGCGTGATCATTTGAGAAGTGATATAAGCACAATGACTATCATGTCGTGTATTGTCTTAGTGAAAATCTTATGGGATCAAGGCAAAGATATGTGTTTACATTTATATATTGTAAGTGCATCTAAGGCCCGTTATATGCTAGAATGTGTATTTGTGTGACATAGGATAGATATCTTTTCAAAATCCATAACTAGTATATGTAGGTGGTGTGAATTTGAAAACTATTTGATTCTTGGTCTTTGTGACCTAGACTTGTTATGTGATGATTATAGCTCTCATTGGTTGATTGGTTCGCTAATCACACATGACATGGCTCTCTTAAGTCCACAATCTACTATGTCTCTCTATATCTCTCTCAAGAAAGCAAAATTGTGTTTATGCCAAATATTTGGAAAAGAGAAGATCAATTCATGGCATTTGGATAAGAAAGTGGTTACACTTAACTTGGATCAAGGATAGATATTATTATTTATTAAGATATATCAGATAAAGGTTTTGGATCTAAGAGATAAATTTTTGGAGCTGCTGGAAGGTACCCGCAAATACCAAATGTGTCTGGTATGGGCGTCCGGTATTCACGGGGGAGTTAGGTCATATATCCTTTCGGCCTAGGTCCGAGGCCCATTCCTTGGTTCCCATCCTCTTCATCCAGCAACTCCACCGCTCGCCCCGCTCTCGTCCACGCGCCACGCTTGCCGTTGTCTGGCATCTCTATGTCGTCGGCCGTGTCTTCCCTCGCTCTCCTTTGCCCCTGCACCATGCACCGTGTCCTCCATCCTACCACTTGGCCTCATCTGCAGTGCCATCGCAGCAAGCCTAGCACCCCTAGCAGCCGCATTGCCTCCTCTCTGACCATGGCCAAGCAAGGAGAAGGAAGGAGTGGGGAAAGGGAGAGGGATTGATGGATTGAAGGTCCGAGAACTGCTCGTTGGATTTGAAATCAGATTCAAGTTCCCATCATAGGTATTTCAAA